CTTGGGGGTCTTTAAGCAAAACTACTGTTATACTTGGGGGTCTTTAAGCAAAACTACTGTTATACTTGGGGGTCTTTAAGCAACTTTTTGGATGTACGGTGTGTCCTTTTTATCAGACAGACAAACTGTGTTAATAGTTAAAGCAATTAATGACTAATCTGATTCATTTGCATGACAGTTAAGAGTTTAATAACTGGTATAACTGCAGTTGGTGTACTTGCTATAAATATTGTCAAAAATATTGAATCTCTGTATTGTGCACAGCTAAAAGGATGAGTAAATGGCAGAGGTGGAAAGTTCAGGTCCAGAAAGTAAAAATCCAGACCAAGATTTTCTTCCAACCAACCAGTTGAGTTCCCTGTTACTGTGCTCCTTTAGATTCACCTACTGTAGTTGGTTGAAACTAAATCTTGGTCTGGATACTTACTTTCTGGACCTGAACTTTCCACTCTGGCAATTAATCATTTTGATTTGTGTGCCTCTTGTTTCGGGGCTGGTTTGACTGTCGATCGATTAATGCTGTTTCAACAGGCATGAGGCCTTCTTCCCCCCAGCACTGTCCTCACTAATGTTGGTGTGGATTAACATGGAGCAGGAGGCCTTACGTGCACAGGGTGCCTCCCCAAAGCTGGAAGTAAGTGCACACTGCACTGTTATGCGGGTATCGTTTATTATTCCTGGCAGTTGTAGTAATTCATGCAGTCTTGGTTGCAGCTCTCCAGCATTGACTTCTCTGCCGATATTGATATAACCAAGATCCGGCAACTGAAGCTTGATGACATCAGAAGATCATACTTTTTTGTATCCTTTCTTGTTATGCAAAGAGTCACAAAAAAACTGCTAGATGTCACCATATCACCGATATGGCATAATGGCATAAGGTTGTTTTTTTTTTATTGTTGTTTTGGCCTAGAGGTCATTAATTTAAGAACAATGAAATCTGCCCAGGTTCTGCAGTTCAAACTACATTTCCCTTAACATTTTTGTAGGTATTTTTCATTATAACAGCATTTTTTGGAACGGGGAACATAGCCTCTATTAACAGGTACAGTAAAATTGACGGTGACATTTCTAGAATCGGACGCTGTGGAGTTGTGCATATGATGAGAAGCATTTTTGCATAACCTGTGAACAGCCCTTTGCATTTTTGCCATCCTAGTTTTGATCCAGCATCTGTGTACTGCTTTGTGACCGTATTCAACCCCTTCGTCATGGGAGCCTTAATGATGTGGAAGGTATAGTGTGTTTAAAGATGACCACCATATTCTTTTGAAACTCCTTCACTTTTATAAATGTATTCTTGCAGAATCTTACAGAAATATTTTACATTTTGATACAGAGTATATCTTTTGGCAATATATGCCAAGTTAATGGTTTATGTCGGAAGCATTTTCATATTGAGATGCTGCTTCCTTTACTAAAATATTAGATGTAAATGCATTATTTATTTTTGTTATTTGTGTGTTTTCAAATTGGCATTTATTTCCCTTCAGGTGTTGATACCGTTCGTCATTGTCATGTGTACATTTGAGACAATCCAGGTCTCAACACAGCTCTCCTCTAGAAGGTACTCCAGTTCCTGTAAATTAGTACTCCAGTTCCTGTAAATTAGTACTCCAGTTCCTGTAAATTAGATATGCTTGTTAAACCTTTCGAACGCAATTGTACAACTGAGGTTGAAGCCCCATAGCTGTCTCCTTCATCACAATATTATTTACAAATGAGATACTTATCATTCAGACCTTATTTTATAGTTGTGTTAATTGTGCTGTCTGTTTGATTTCCAGCCTGTTCCTAATCGTACTAGTTATCTCCGACTTGATGGCTTTGGTAAGCACTCTACCAGAGGAAATTGCTGGTTTTGATGTGGGCACTAGGTCTGTTAGACCTCATTGTCCTGAAAAACGCACTTATTTTGTTGTTGCAGCACTTCTTCTTTTTGGTTAAAGATTACGGGAGCTGGCTGGACATCGGCACCAGGTTAGTGGTGGTGAAAATCTCTTACAAGCTTCCTGTTTTTTTTCTCCCAGAGTATAGAATAATTTCCTCCCACGGTACAGAATCTTCCTTTGGCAAAATATTATTCGCACTGTGTATCCTGCAGACTTAAATATCAACATGTGACTAATGAGGACAATATGTATTCCACATTAAGTTAGGGTTTGTCTTACTGTGACACAGTTCCTCCTTGTCTCTATCTCTGCAGCATTAGCCATTACGTCATTGTGATGTCCATGACCATCTTCCTGATGCTGCTGAACATTTTCTCGCGTGTCTTTACCTCCAAAAGAATCCACGTGGGCTGGGGGGTGAAAATGCACTCCACGTGAAGCTCTCCGAGGAAATTCGTGCAAGTGTTAGAAATGGAACTGTAGCTGCATAAGGGTGCTGTGCATTCATTACTGTGTATTGGGTTTACTGAGATGCTTATTTCGGTTGCGTAATTGTAAATTATAAGTTATAAATTTTTTTCTGGTTAATTTAGTACTATAGGAAACAGGAAGCAATTTCTGTGTAACTTAGCCTTTAAATTTTAAGTTTATACCTCATCAAAAAACATGAATAAGTATAAAGATCATGATTTTATATGTTACAAGTTAAGTTGGTACATTTACTGCCAGTGTCACAAAGTGGAATCCAAAGTGTTTACTTTTAAACAGATTTCACGTAAGTATTGTGTCTGTAATGTGGACAATAGTCCACAGAGCATATTTTAAATTGTATTCAGGAAAAAAATGTTATTCCTACCATGTTAGGTACAAAACATGCTCTCACTCTTTACATTTTTATGGCAACTGCTCGACTAAACACAAAATTCAATCTTAAGTAGGCCTAATAACTTTGATAAATGTTATATAGATATAGATGCTGCAGTGAATGTATTTGTTAATGAATAAATTAATTTAAAGAAGAAAAAAAATACAAAAGACGACGCTGAGGCAGGAAAGGCATATTTAAATTATGTGCGTGTTATTTTTTTTCCTTGTCTCATGTTGTCTTTGTCCAAAACTTATAGCAGGTAGTATGAACCTCACAAAATGAGTCTTTCAGTTTCATATGAAAGCCCAAGATCTGTCGCGGTTTCCGTACGTGTGATGGGGAAATTTCCACTGAGTGGTAGTTGCTCTCTTCTTACCGCAAGCAATCTGCAATCAGATAGTGCAGCAGTGGATTTTGCTCTGTGCAGTCGGAGGAGAAGGTAGGTTGTGTCAGTTCTCCATTTATGAATTTATAATGATGTAACGACGGCATTAATTAAGCATACAAATATGAGTGGTTTTGCTTGATTAATTGAAAACAGAGAAAGTTCTTAAAGACAGCACATTCTAGAAAAGGGAAACACAATTTTCATTTTGTCATGCATGCTAATATATTATCAACATACATTATTGGAAAATATTGCGAAATAGCCTGTCAGACTTGCCTCACCAACCCTTGGATGTCAAAGTGCATTTTCTTGAAAATGGTACAGTAGAAGTTGACCAAATTTTATCTGAAAATATATTGGCTCAGAATGTATAAAACTTGTTCAAAATAATGGATTTCAAAATGCCTTGGAAATGGTATAGTAAACGTTGAACACATTTTGTCTGGAAATAACCTTGGACATTGCCTTTCAGATGCTATATGACGTGTTTATACATTATGGGAAAGTAAGAAATTAATTGTATTTAAGTTATCCAAGGTCTCCAAGAAGGTCGGATACTCTTAACTGGTGTTCAGTGTACTGTATACGCAGAGACAACTGTCAGAGCCCATCCCCCGACTCAGAGTCAAAGGGAGGTGAACCCTGTCGTTCACCGTGGTGAACTCCAACTCACTGGCACTGAACTGGGGGACTGTAAGTAGACCCACCTCTGCCTGGCGCCTCTCACCATGGGCAACTCCAGGGTGGAATAGAGTATAGCCCCTCTCCAAGATTTTAGTTCCAGAGCCCGAGTCAGTATCTCTGTACCTCCTGCACGAGTTCAGGCAGATACTAAATTTCACTTAGTATGGTTGGTCACCTGAGACCAATTTGCCTTGGGAGACCCTAACAGGGGCGATTGCCCCTGAAAACATAGCTCCTAGGATCATAGGGGCACACAAACCCCTCCACCACGATAACGTGGTGATTCATGGAGGATTATATTAAAATTATATAATGAGCATGGCTGAACACAAATTCTATGCAAATATACATCAAATGAAGCACCGAATTTTACTGTTTGTGTATTGCAATTGTGTTCTCCGTCACACCCTACCGATCTGCCCTTCCTATTTCTCCCTAGTGTGGCTCTGACGGGCCACACTTGTTGTGTATCAGTCTTACCTCTCGTTCCTACCTTTGTGTAATGCACTCCTGCTGCCTCTTGTTTTACTCCCCTGCTAGTCTTTGTATAATGGTGCCTCCCAGTCCTGTATTCCCCAGTCTTGACATTGATGTTATTAGTCCTGCTAGTCTTGTTGTTGATCCCAGTATTGAGCTCCCCTGCGACTCCTATGTTTTCCTGCCATTGTGAGTGGAATAAACACATCTTGATTTGCCCTGATTCCTGCTCTCGTGCCCTTCGTCCTGCACCCTCACAACATTCTCTCCTCTGGATTTGAGGTCTTATCAATTCCTTGGCCAGTTGTAGTAACTGCAAAAAAAGCCCTATGCTGGCTAATTGTACAACTGTTCAACCTTTTGGACGTCTCCACTTATAATGCATTTGTCATCTGCATGGCATTGAATCCATATTGTAACAAAGGAAGGTTCCAGAGATAGCTCTCTTCAAAAATTGGGCAAGGAATTGATAAGACCTCAAATCCAAAGTGCCATTTTGTGAAAATGGTACAGTAAAGGTTGAACAAATTTTGTCACCCTTCGTGCATTCGTGAATTCACAGAAATTTCATTATACTGTTTTTTATTAAATATTTTTAATGTGTGTATATCCTCCTGAGACCCAAGGAAAAAAGTGTCCTTCAATTGTAGGTTATTTGTCTTTGGAGGAAATA